CATGTACCCTGCACAGAGAGCCCAGCTCCGCAGGGCCTGGAAGAGCTGACTGCCTGGCAGCAGGGGAAGGGGACGGGGTTGCCCCTTCTAGAGAGGGGACGGGGGGGGGTGACGTCCCCGCCCCCGGCCAGCGCAGGGAGTGCAGGCCCTTCCCAAGAGGCTGCGGCAAATCACCGCACACACATTGGGCTTCAGCATGCACTGACCGGCTTGTCTCTGGAGGGCAGAAGCCAGCATCTCAGCGACCCGAATCACAGGGCGGGCGGAGCTGGTTCCTTCTAGAGGCTGGGGGTGGGGGGCTCAGTTTCCTCCCTTCTTCAAGAGGCCGCATCACCCACCTCTGCCTCCAATGTCAGGCCTTCTGACTCTGAGCCTGTGCGCACCTCCTCTAGGACGCTTATAATCACACTGCCCCCCAGTCCTGCATGATCCCCTCCTCTTAAAACCCTTCACGTCTGCAAAGTCCCTTCTGCCATGGAAGGTCACATACTCACAGGGTCCAGCGATCGGGAGGACGACATCTCTGGGGCATTCGTCAGACTCCAACAGGGACAAACAATGACAGAGCAGTCCGTCGAGGCCGCCCCACGTTGGGCTGCAGCCCTCCCTCACCCCACCCCCGCCACGGTAAATCGGGCCACCTGGCAGCATCCACCAGACTTTAAACGCATGCGTCCCTCAGCCAGCAAGGCCTACTCCGGGAGGCTACGGGGCAGAACTCTGCAAGCCGGCAGCAAAGTGGGTCAGACAAACACAGCCTCTGCGGCCCCGTTCATAAGACCGAGAGATCGGATGCATCCAAAACTCATTCACAGAGTCAGGGTTGGACCCATATGGTGCATCCATGTCATGGAATATCGTGCAGCCAGCAGAGAAACACACAGGTCTGGATATCCTGACATAAGTGAGGAGAAAAGTGGGCCACAGACGGCACGGTCCCATCACTGCAACAGGAAACCATGAGGGTGCGAGACCCAGGTCTGCCTAGACACAGAGAAAAGCCTGACAAGAACGTACAGTCATCAGGGGTGCCTGGGCGGCTCCGTCGGTTAATTATCTGACTCTTGATCTCAGGGTCATGAGTTCAAGCCCTGCGTTGGGCTCTGTGCCGGGGGTGCAGCCTACCTAAAAATTGCATAGTAGTCTCCCCTGGTCCGAGGTTTCCGCTGCCCACAGTCAGCCGAGGTCTGGAGGCAGGTGATCCTTCTGACGTGTGGTCAGAGGTGGCCTCATACTTTGTCCCACGCCCAAGTCATTCCACGCACTCCATCTCCGCACGGGGGCATGTCCCCACCCCGGCACCGAGAGGAGGGGGACAATGACCACATTCGCATAACTTCTATCACAGTATATTGTTGTTGGTGTTCCATTTTATTATTATCGTTAATCTCTTTCTGTGCCTAATCTATAAACTAAGCTTCCTCACAGGTACAATGTCTAGGAAAACAGAGTGCAAGGGACTCAGTTCTGTCCACGGTTCAGGCATCCACCAGGGACCTTGGAATGGATCCCCTGAGGATAAGGGGGAGTCATTGTAATTGCCTCTAAGGAGATGAACCAGTCTTGGTGGGATTCAGTTACCATACACCAATCTGTTTTATTACTTTTTTTGCATGGATTTATCATTTTAATAAGAAATAAAATGTTTTTAAAAAGCAAGCCACACATGCACACACACGTTTCAGGTCCTGAAAGGTTTTGTTTCCTTTAAGGAGGAGGGGTGCCGCAGGTAATTCCTGCAGGTGATCTGGCCGACTGCCTGGATGTGGCACCCCCGGCCCACAATTGCACTGAGAACAGGGCAGACGGCGACCTCACAGCAGCCCAAAGCCACTGGGCACAGCTGGAGTAAAACCGCAGGACCCCCGAGGCCCCACTGCAGAGGCACCAGCTTGGCCTGGGCATAGAGCAGGCGCTCGAGATGCGGCTGGGGGCGTTGGTGATCGACTAGTCATGTCTGCCACGGGCCCCAGGAGGTGTGATGGAGAGGCAGCAAGCACGGAAGGGACACCTCTGACGTCCCGTTAAGGATGCTTCACGGAAGGGCTGGAGCGAATGACAACTGGGGGCAACTACACTGAGGTCCACCAGAATACACGCTGCTCGGAGCAGGCTCCTTGAGGGCGCCCGGGGTGTCCCCCCATCGGTGACAGGGCAGGGGGCGGCCATCAGTCACAATGGGGGAAGAGAATGCTACAGAAAGTCACAGGGAAGGACAGCAGTGCCCTCTGCTCTGATTGCGGCCCGCCTCCCCCGACCGACCCACCAGGCGCGCCCTCCCCCGCCCATTTCCCATCTCCTGCAGGGCCTCTGCCCTGGGGGCGCGCTGGCGGTTCTAGCATCCCAGGGGCTCCTGAGGAATGCAGGATCTCAGGCTGTACCCAGACCCGCCGAACCAACAGCTCTGGGGTGGGGCCCTGCCTTCGGCATGTTACTTCCCCCAGTGTTGGTGATACCGGACGATGGCCTGGAAAGCCGTAAGGAGCTCTGAGCCCAGGCGGCACCCCAGACAAGGAACCCAGCATCTCTGGGGGGGGGGGGCTGGGCTCCGTGTGCCTTAGAGCCCCAGCAATTCCTGTGCACAGACTGGGGACTGGGGACCGGGCTGTGGGCACACCACCAACCCCGCCACCCCTTCAGCTGTGGGCCCACATACAGGACCCCCTCTCAGAACTCAAGCTCTGTGTGCCCCCCACCCATGTTTTGCAGGAAAGCCCGTGTCCCCATCCGCTGGGCAGCTGTCCCCACAGAGCTGCCCCCCCCAGGGGAGGAAACGCCACATGGTCTCTCGCGGACTTGCCTCGGTAACCTGTGCCCAGCCGGGACCCAAGGAGGGAGTGGGGGCCCCTCTCTGCTACTGCCTGCATGGCCTGGGCGTCTCGTGGTCGTGACAATGACCAGAGTCCACCTGGGGTGGTCACCGGCAGCCGCCGAGGCCACTCTCACGCTCCAGTGGGCCGGGGGCCTCAGGGCGTCTGGGACACGGACCCAGCTCTCGCGTGTGAGCTTTGCTGTCGAGGACCGAGGCCCGCGCCCTCTTTTCCCCAAGCATGGCCCCGTCCCACAGCCTGGGAGGCTCATCCTTGTCCCTATTTGCGGGGACAGAGGACGCTGTCACCCCTGCCCCCGATGGGTGATCCTGGGCAGCAAGAGGCCCACGTGGCTCAGAGTCTCACTGCAGGCACATCCACTCCCCCAAAAGGCCTCAGGGTGAGAGGGGGTGGGAGGGCGGGGAGGGTGACAGGGGAGGGTGACAGGGGCCTGCGCCGGGCCCCACACAGGTGGAGCGCACCGTGCGGTGCTCCATCCTGTCCTTCCGCAGGGAACCCAGCCCAGAGAGTTCACCTTCCCCAGACTGCTCAGCAGCAATAGGCCTGAGCAGGACCAGGGTCTGCAGCCCCCCTGAGCCGGCCCCAATACTCGGCGCTGTCGTCACCTGAGTCCTTGGACCTTCGCCGCGGGCCGGGGCCATCACTCCTGGTTCACAGACTGAAACCTGCCCTAAGTGGAGCTCGTCAGGTGCGTGGACTCTGAGCTCTGCCCACAACATGACTTCGAGCCCCCGTTTCCATGGGATTTGTCAGAAAACTGCCCTGGGTCCCACGTCTTCAGTCCCAAGGACGTTCTCCTGGTCGCTGGACTTTAAAGTCACTTCTACAGGAGACCCGGAGGCCGAGAACGGACCTGCCGCCAGTCGGGAGCTGCCGCGAGGACCCCGGATCCTTGGCCACGCAGTCCCCCAGCCCTGGAACGGCCTCTCGTCCACGGAGGTCAATAAACCACACCACACACAATGGGACAGTGGGAAATGCACCCAAATGCCAGGCCGTCCGGACGCTGTAGCCAACCAGAGCCAACGACACCGTCGTATTCCTACATTCTGTGTTCTATACAAGCAAGTGTCACATTTAGGACGGAAAAAATCACTATTACACCTAATTTCATCTTAAACCCCCAGGGGAGTCATCAAAAATGCTGGTCCTGTTTGTTTCCATGCCTGGACGCATCTGGGTGAGGACAGGGGCACGCAATGTGGGACCTTGGTGCTCAGGGAGCGGCTGCATCTTTCTCTCTGCTTCTCAGAATGGATTTCCTCTCCCTCTAAAACCTCAGACATTGGGAGCCGCGGATATTCTGCCAATAAATCCCAGCTATGGTTTCTGTTCTTCTGTTGTGGATCAAAGATCACGGAAAACCAGAGCCAGACGAATTAAAACTTAGTGACAAGGCTGGGCAGCCTGAGCCTTAACAGAGCCAGGAGCTTTCCTGACCCTGGCTGGGAACACAGAATCATCCAGAAAGACGCCGGGGCTGCCCTCCCAGATGCCTCCAGCCTGGGTAAGTGTGGCTTCTAAAGCCATCCCCAGGACGCCCGCCTACCTACCCCTGCAGCTCCAGGAAGCCGGGCCCTGAGCCCCTTCTTCCAGCTCTGAGCCCGCACCCTGCACCAACACCAAAGTCCCCTTGAAAGCCAACATGGTGCCCGCCAACAGCCAACTCGGGTTGCTCAGTGCCCGGCAGCCCCGTGAACCCCAACTCAGGAAGGGCTGCATCTCACACCAGCTGTTGGCCCACGGCACCAAGTGTCCTGTGGGCCCCTTGCCGGGCCCCAGCCGGTCGCCACACTTGGGGCTGTCTCCTGGGGCCCACGGACAACCAGGGCAGCTTCCTCCCTCCCCCACATGCCCGTGGCACTGGGAGCGCGGCTGTGGCAACATTACACCTTTGTGTCACCGGCAGAACGGTGCACCTTCTTTACCCACGGCTACGCCATGTGAAACACCAGCACGCGGAACAAAGGGCACTCTGCTCGGTTGGAGGAATGGCTGCCAGGCCCAGAACCCTGTCAGACCAACTGCTGCCTGGCCCCCACGCCCCAAGAACCTCCGAGGAGCCCCTGGGTTCCACGGGGCACAGTTTGAGAAACACCCGAGCCTCATCCTGAGGACAGCGCAGCGGAATAGACTGGCCCCGCCACCCAGGCCCGCCGCGCCTCCTACCTGGAGGCCGCGATCTCCGCCTTCTGCTTGGCAATGGTGGCGGCCCGCTCGGCAGCCTCCACCGCGCGGTCCACCTTCTCGCGGATCTTGCTGGCGCGCAGCGGGATGAGGTTCTTGCGCTTGCCGCTGACGAGAACGTTCTGCTTGTACTTGCCCTCCTCCTTGGTGCCGTCAGGGAAGGTCATGCAGCCATAGCCATGCCGCCGGTTGCCGGCCCACTCGCCCTCGTACTTGAGCCCGTCCGAGCGCTGGCTGACGCCGAAGCCCGAGCGCTTGTCACTCTTCCACTCGCCCACGTAGGTCTCGGTGGTGGTGGCGTCGATGTCGTCCTCGATGACTGCCAGTTCAGCCTCGCCCTCGCCCAGGCTGATGGTGGAGTGGATGTCGCTGGCCGTGGAGCTGACCGTGCTCATGCCGGCCTCGCTGCGGAACGAGCTCTGTTTGCTGCGCTGGCTGGCCAGGCTGCTCTTGGACTCGGACTTGCGCAGCTTCAGCCCGCTCAGCAGTGAGCGCCGGAACAGCCCCTTCTTCTTGCTCTTGAGGATGTCGGAGTCGCTGTGGGCCACAAGCACAAAGCCCCCGCGGGACACGGCCGGGCTGCCGGCCACTGCCGGGGAGGCGTCGGGGTGCAGCGCGGCGCCGTTGGTGTGCTCGCTGCGCAGAGAGTTGATGGATGTCCTCAGGGGCGAGCGGATGACTGCCGCCATGCCGTAGGGGACGCTCTGCCGCACACCGTAGCCTTGGCGCATGCCGCCGACCCACTGGCCCTGGTAGGTCCCTGTGGAGACAAAAGGAGAGAGGGGTGAGCGTGGAGGGCGGCGGGACACAGTGGACCCAGCCTCCGTGGTTCTGTCTTCGGACAACGTGGCGTTTTCATGGTTATATCCCCTATGGTCTTTGGTGAAGACACTTCGCCCTGCTGCCCATGGTTGCCTCTCATTCTCTTAGAGGCTGGGGAGGGGAAAGGGAGGTGTCAGAGTCTAACACAGAGTCAGGAGTGAACTGGAGAGCTCCCCCTGCACGTGGAGGGGGAGGAGGCACATGCTGCTGGGGGGCCCAGGAGTCCAGCCATGGGGACACAGACCCGGGCTACAAACTGAGTGTGAGGAGGCTGCCCCGGGAGTAAGTTCCCAGCTGCTGGAGGCATCCAAGAAGGGTTTGGAAGAGCAGTAAGTGGGGACATCTTAAGCACTTGGGGACATGAAGACATTGCAACCAGCAGACCTGACATCCCCAAAAGAATGAAAAGCAGAAACTCAAAGAGATATTTGCACATGTTCACAGCAGCATCATTCAGAACAGCCAACAGGTGGAAACAACCCAGGTGTCCGTCAATGGACGAATGCATAAACAAAATGGGGACCATTCATACAATGGAATATTATTCAGTCATAAAACTGACACCCACTACATGGATGCACCTGGAGGACTGGGTGAAAAAAGCCAGTCTCAGGAGGATGGACACCACGTGAGAACCCTGACATGAGGCCCCTCCAACAGTCAAGTTCAGAGACAGGAGAAGGGCAGGTGCCAGGGGCTGGGGGAGGGAGGAATGGGGAGTTGTTCTCTAATGGGGTCAGTTTATTTGGGGTGACAGAGAAGTTTTGAAGGTAGATAGAAGTAATGGTTGCACACCATAAATATAATAATGTCAGTGAACTACGTAAAGAGTGGTTAAAATGGCAAATTCTACGATATATAGAATATCTTCCCATAACAGAATAAAAAGGAAAAATAAATAAAAAAAACCAGGCTCATATCCTTGCTCTACTTACTGGTTGAGTGATGAGAACCTCTCTGACCCTCAGTCTCTTTGTCTGTAGGAGTCTGAAAGCCCTCATTCCCTAACTCACTGGGAGAAGAAAATGGCCCTCGGTGTGGAGTCCATCCTGTGTTCCTAGACTTACTGCCAGGCCTCAGCTGGACTCCACTGAGGGGCTCCCCGCCCTGGAAGGGCTTTTCAGGGAAAATGGGGTGAATCTGTCCCACCACTCTTCCAACTCACTGCCACAGGGGCTGTAAACCAGAAACTCACCAATATACAGGTTTTATTTGTCCCAGTTTTTATAAAAAATGAATTGCCAGCATTTCAAAATCAAGATGTTTCACATAAAAGTTCAGCTCTTCTTTCTCCTAAACAATTACAGGATCTGGCAACCCTAGATCTTTGTGTTCAGATGGCAAAATGGAGTGGAGTGCAGCAGCAGGCTCCTTGAGACGGGGTGCCCTCCAGTTTGCCCCACTCCCCACTACGCCCGACTGTCTCCCACCCAGGCCCTCTCCTTCACGCGCCCGCCCCACACCAGAGGTAAGACGCAAAGCAAGTGTGGAATCCAAAGCCTTGCAGTGTGGCCCCCAAGGACTTCAGTCAGGGATGTGTCACCCCTGTCCCTGTCACCCACAACCCCAAGTCAAAACAAGTCCTGACCTCTCACTGGCTTGCCTAAGATGTGTCCACACAGCCTGCCCTTACTCGACCCCCACCCCTGCCATTCGAATCCCACCCAATCCAACCCAGCTGGTGCCCCCTCCTCAGTAACACCTCGGGGTACCCCGGCTGACCGTGCACCCACACAGGGCCCGTGGCATCCAGGTCAACACCCAGCATTCCTCAGCAGACTCCGGGGGATGCCCGGCTTTGCAGGACATGTCTCTCTGCTCAACCAGGTTGCAAGCTCCCCAGAGGGGGAGGGTCTTGTGTCCTGATGCCTTATTCTCCTCATGACTGGCGCCTGGCCTCAGTGGGGAGAGATGTGGCTGGGGCGAGGCACCAGGCCAAAGGACCTGGGAACCCTATGCTCCAGCAGAGAGCAGCCTATCCATTGAAAGTGACCCACAGGCAGGTACTTCCTAGAAGCAGAGCCTGAGACCAGTGTCCTCCTGAAGGTGTCGTTGAGGGAGGGCGGGGCAGAGCCAAGCCAGTGGTGGTCTCAGCCGCAGGCACCCCTCAGTGCCACCCCATAGGATTCATCCCACCCCGAGGTGAAGGCTTCTGCACCCCCACACAGTGCTCGGTCATTTGGCAACCCCAAAGCTGGGTGGGGGTATGCCCTGCCGGGGGAGGCAGTCCTGAGCCCACTGCCCCAAGTGGAAGGGCAAATGTGGAGCAGCAGGGGTGCTCCCCACCCTCTGCCCTCCTCCCACCCCTGCCCGACCACAAGCTCTTCCTACTTTGGGCTGCCTGTGCCAGGCAGTGGGCACCTTCCCCCTGGGGGGGGGGGCACCCACCTGCCCCACAGCATCCACTGCATCTCTTCCCAGAGTCAACCTGGCTTTAAGCAAGGGACAGTCATGGGGGCGGGACAAAGGTTGTGGCTGATTCTGTGCCAAACTGCATGCCCACCCTGGGACAGAGAGCCTGTGCCTGGCACCAACCAGGGTTGTGAGTAGGAACCCAGGACCAGGTGCAGTGGGAGTGGGCAGGCCTGGGGGTAGCAGGCCCATTCAGGCAGGCAGACCCGCTGCCCACACAACGGCCCTCCTGTCCCAGTTCAGGCTGTGAACGGACTGCCATCACAGGGACTCTCTCCCAGAAACCCAGGGTGCCCCTTCTACTTGCGGCTTAGGGACAGGGCTATCAGATACGGCACAGGATGCTGAGTTAAAGCCGAGTCTCACAGGAACAATGAGTAATTTGGGGAATGAAATGCCTGGGACATACTTATACAAGAAGTACTTTTGGTGATGATCTGAAATTTGAGTTTAGCTGGGTCTCCCAAGGTTTATTTGCTGAATCTGGCCAGTCGGCTGGGACCTTCCATGATGACACCCCGGGTTTTGCGATGGAGGGCCCCCCCAAAGCACAGGACCGCCCATGAGGGAAGGGAGGCTCAGCCCCTGCCCCCGCACCCCTCCTTCCCCTTAGAGGAGGCCGAGGTGTCACTGATATGCAAGATGGGGTCCATGCACGCAGTAGAGTATCACTCAGCCTTAAAAATCAGGACATTCTCACACCTGCTACAGCACGGATGGGCCTGGAGAACACGACGCTCTGTGAAATCAGCCCGTGCCCATAGCACAAACACTGAACGGTTCCACTCACACGAGGGCCCTGGAGGAGCCAGAGCCACGGAGACGGGAAGCAGATGGGGGGCGCAGGGGGCCAAGGACAAGGCTGGGGAGCGGGTGCGCCATGGGGATGGAGCTCCAGGTTGGGCAGAGGATGACAAAGCTCTGAAGGAGGATGGTGTGATGGTTTCACGACACGAACGCACTTAACACCACTAAACTGTACACTTCAAAATGGTCAAGATGGTAGATTTTATGTCTATTTTGCCCAAACTTAAAAAATGTAAACAGTGGGCGCCTGGGTGGCTCAGTCGTTAAGCGTCTGCCTTCGGCTCAGGTCATGATCCCAGGGTCCTGGGATCGAGTCCCCCATCAGGCTCCCTGCTCGGCGGGAAGCCTGCTTCTCCCTCTGCCACGCCCCCTGCTTGTGTTCCTGCTCTCGCTGTGTCTCTCTCTGTCAAATAAATAAATAAAATCTTTAAAAAAAAAAAAAATGTAAACAGTGAAGGCACTCCCGGGAGCTTCACGCATAGCCTGGCGGAGGCTGTGATGGGCAGGGGCTCGGGGATGCGTCAGGAGTGGGGCAGACCTGGGTTCGAGTCCCGACCCCACACTTTCCGGATCTGTGACCTTGGGAAAGTCTGCTTTAACCTTAGCGTCCTTGTCTGTAAGATGGGGAAGGCGGCCGTGCAGCTATGGAGGTGGTGGTACAGAGCATGGAAAGGTCAACACTCACCCTAACTCTTCCTCAACCAAACCTTAGGGAGCTGGTAACACCTCCCTTTGCAGGTGAGGGAACGGAGGCCCTCCCAGGGCAGGATCTGAACCCCAGGCTCACCACCCTTCCCTCTCTCCCTAAGCCTTGGAGCAGGTGCACCGCAGGTCAGGCAGCCCGAGGCCCGATCTGGCAGCCCGGGTGACAACCGTGCCCCCGCTAGGTCCGTAAGTAGCATGCATGCACATCAAGAGCTGGGAGTGGCCGGAGCCCGCAGTTTGGTTGTATGTGCAGGTTTGCCCCCAGTGGGAACTCATCTCTGAGGTTGTGGCCAGTGTCGGTAAGAAACTGGATCCGATGTCGCGGGAACGGCAGACCAGCTCTGCTAGGACCCGCCTGGGAGCAACACAGGAATCAAGAAAATGGACCCCAGACAGGCCTCGGGGAGGTGGCTTCTCCCAGAGGGACGCTCCCGACCTCTGCCCCCTGCCCCCCCTTCCCAGCACCAGTCCTTTGCCTGTCTTTCCTTGCTGGGGCTGGTGGGGTGGGGGGACAAGGGTTCAATTCAAGCCCCCCGATTCCCAATGGTTGTTTGAATCCAACTGGTTATTTGCAGAACGTTAAATCCAGTGTTTTGTTGTTTCATTTGACACCCCAAGCAGCCTGTGTGTGAAAAGTCAGAGGCCAGCATGCCCAGTTCGAGGGGAAGGCCAAGCAGGCCTGACAGGTGCTGTCCCGCAGGATGCTGGGAGGGTCCCCAGAGCAGAGTAGCTTCCTGTGTGCACTTTCACCCTGACCTCAGGCCACCCCTCACACAAGACGCCCGGGTGCAGATGGATCACTCGGGGCATCCCTGCTTCCCTCTGGATAAGCTCAGGAAGGCAGGTGACCCTCCCAGGGATTCTGCCACCCCCTCACCTGCCCATCACAACAAAGATAATGGACCAACTCCTCCATCCCATCACCTGGAACTTGGAATCAGATCTAAGGGGACCACAGGTGAGCGAGCCAACTTCCCTGAACCTCGCTCATGAAATGCCATCCAGAGCCAGCGA